CTATTAGCCACTGTTTTTCCAGTCTAAACTGTTCTTCTATGCAACCATTTATTGCATAACATTCGTAACAGAAATAGGTTAGTTCCTTAAATCTGAAATATATCATAACTATAGAATAAAAGAGATAGAATTATTCATTTTAATTTCACAGTAAAATTAAAATATCTGAAAACTAAATTTCAATTGTTTTCTTACCTCAAAGAATCCCTTAAAGAATCTGGGATTGATGAAACAAGGTACAGTAGTTGTACTTACATGCCTGTGAAAAAATCTGACATGTCTTGCACCCCAAGAAAGGGCATTGTGAACCAACAGGGGTTGTGTGCACTCCAGTTTAAAAAAACACTTCTAAAGACAAGGGAGGGGACAATGTAGCAAAGGGGGAAAGTCTGCATTCATTACTGATGGGTTTTGGGTTCAAGTCCCTGCTGCAAATACTGCTGTTATACAGTACCTCAAGCAAGGTACTTTACTCAGATTCCTTCAGTACACCCAGCTGCATGAATGGAGGGAGGCACTAGGCTCTGTGATGCACTGCTGTCCTATCCAGGGAGGAAGTCAGGTCTTCTCTGTTTACCTAATACCATGGAAACAAGAATGCATTCTGGACTGATGGGTCAATCTATCTTAAATACAGAAATATCTTGCAGCTTAAGACAACAGTATTGAGTTAAAGATAAAAGAGCAAATCATGGGTTTCTAAAAATATTGTAATGTGCCACATTCCATAGTCCTCTTAAAGCTTTGGAACTGGGCCTGTAATTTTTATTTCATTGTTTACATGCCGGCATGTTTCTAAAGTAAGACATTTTAATCCACAACATTTACTTTCAAGATGTCACCTTGCATTCTGTGTAGGGATCTGTCCTTAGGCGTCCTTTTTTCAGACATTACTTGCAGCAGCTGGAAAGACTAGTTTTTACTTTAGTTAGATTTGGGTCTGTTGAATATTGTGACTCATTTACAGAGGACAAAATTGTCCAACACAATGGCAGAGAAGATTAATGATGTAGCAAGTTTATATTATATCTTGCAAGAAGGACCAAACAGTTTCCACTAATTTGTAAACATTCTCATGTTGAATTTGAGCACAGTGGATTTAAAACTTTAAACTCTTTACAATATTAATAATGAAAAGTCCCATGCTTGATTCCATACAGACCTTATAAGCACATTTCATGCAAACATTATATGCTATTAATAATGTACCAGTGTTTGTAGATTAAAGGTCATGTGTTGATGAGTATTTTTGCTTTTAACAGCCATGTGTCTGTAAGTCATTTAGATAGTTCAACATGTAATGAAATATGGTACATTATGTTTTGGAGAAGATTCAGAAATAGTGGAGTACAGCTTGAAATATCATCTGAAATGCCACCCTCACTGATATTATGCACTGAGATTACTGTTTCTACCCAACAGCGAGACTTTTTCTAACAGCCATTATTTAGGATGAGTACAGAAGGCATGCTAAATCACAAAATAGAGAGGTTGGATTGATCAGCAAGATATCCTGTCATGAACCTTATTGAGCATGTCTGGGACATGCATCATTAGTCACCAGCAGCCCATCTAAAGTAACCAAGAGACCCATTATCCCATTGTTTTTTAAATGTTTTGTTAAATCATTGCATTGTTAATAGATGTGTTTAGCTATGAAACACAAACTACCCAGCTCGTGAATGGTTAATAGTGTGTCTTAGACCTGAACATCTACTCAGTTGTAGCAGTAATTGAATAACAGAGCACTGGTGAAGTTCTGCACCTACTGAAAATAAATTAGTGAAAGTTGTTAATGTTTCTTGTGTGCCTTTGAGTGACATATTCTTTGTAAAACCTCATTACTCCCTAATTGGAATTGAATGAAAAAGGATTCAGTTTATAAAATGCTTTTGACTGAATGAGGTGGTCCAAATTAATCTTCCGTTGTCAGTAATCACACTAATTAAATTCTTTGGTGTGAAGAATGAATTAATATTTTCCTTAATTGTTGCTTTACTTTGTGGCAATAAAAACCTACTTAGGATCAAAATCAGATTCATTTTCCACAATTATCCATTTAACCAAATGAGTGTAATTTACAGACGAAAATGAAATCTCTATTGAAAAGAAAAGGAACAAAACGGATTCTTCTCTAGCTAGCATTAAGTAAAAATCAATAAATAAGAGCATTTGTTAAATTGCTGAGGCCATCTGCTCCAGAATTGTCTGAATTGAGATGAACCATTCATCGCCTAAAATGAGTAATATTTTTAAAAGCACTTTACTTTATTTTAATAGGCCATTATAACTGTAGGAACATCAAGTTGAAGATGGAGGCATATAGTATACAGTACATGTGGATTCTCACAAAAAAGCATAGGAAACGGGCTCACGTGCATACATTCAAACAAGATTTGTATCATATTAAGGATCTCGAGACTGTTTTTGATGACATAGGTGATGAAATTGCACTTAAAAATTGAAATTGGTTAATTAAGTCATAAGTGGATATGAGACAAGATATCTCATATTTCAAGATTTATAAAAAGATTAAAAGTTCATGTTCCATTTTATTAATTCTGGAGGAAGGTTTGAAAACATAATTATAAATAAATAATCCAAAGTAATTTGTGGAAGGTTGCTCTCTTGAGATGCTTGCCTAATTTATGATTACTGATCAAAAATTTTATAAGAAAGGCACTGTATTTCTTTTATCATGCTTATCTTTTTTCATCCTAAGGTATATGTACAATTCATAAGTAGTCTTTAAGATTCTGTAGTCGTAATGCAGGTTCATTATTTATTTGTGAACACACTTGTACAATGCTATGGTGTTTTGTTTTAAAAGTCTCATTCTCAGTAGTTCCCAGGAACTGGAACACCACAATGAGTGCAGTTGAAAATAAAAACACAAATTAAAACAGTTTGGTCCTGCCCGGAATTGAAAATTGTTTTGTGATTTTCTTTCAGTCTTGCAGTATTTGCTTTAAGTCTCCCACGAAACCACGATTAATTTCCTTTCCAAGGAAATAATTTGTAAGGCCTAAAATGGCAAAAATGCAAAAGTGTTTAATCAGGATGTGTGCTACTTTTCCCCCTGTGCTGAGATTAGTTTTGCAGCATGAGGATCATTTTGGATTTCTAATAAAGTTTTGTACATTTCTCAGGAGTTGGTAAATGTTAGAAAGTTAAAATATTAAATAGTAATTAAACCATATTTTTTACTTTTGGAAGTGGAAAATTATACTGTATAACAGTTTAACAAAATATTGTGTTTCTTAGTTTAACAATTGCATCTGTGTACTGTATATGTTTTGAATAAACACAGTTAATACAATATATGCATCTAGTACAACTGGAATAATCTTCCTAAACTATAGTAATAATAATAATAATAATAATAATTGCTTACACTTATATAGCGCTTTTTCTGGACACTCCACTCAAAGCGCTTTACAGGTAATGGGGACTCCCCTCCGCCACCACCAATGTGCAGCATCCACCTGGATGATGCGACGGCAGCCATAGTGCGCCAGAACACTCTTATAGTAACATTCTTACCTTACTTCACATTTACCAAAGAACAGATCTTACAAAAAAACCTGAATTACAAAACCTGCTTTTTTCCCCAAAACACAATTTTGGAGACAGAGTGAAGTGACTAGAATATTTGAAATAATATTTTAGAACTTTTAATAAACTTTGGCCGGTATACACAAATGTACAGCTATTTTTCCATACGTGAATAGGATGAACTTTTAATGATGTGGATGCTCTCAGAAATAAATGCTTCTGCTGTTCAATCTGCAGCCGCATAAAGTGTAAGTGATGCATTTCAGAAAGCAAGTCCTTGAGGGTCAAGTAGTGATTGACAAAAGTGGATAGAAAGAGCCCATTTGCTCTTAGAAATCATTAAAAATTAATATAATCTGATTCATCTGCTGAGTCTCGCTGAATTAATGCTACAGTATGTTATAATAGAGTTTCACCTCCAGGTCTTTCAAGTCAAGCTCTTCCAAATGAGAGATCAAAACCACCATTATGGAATATGTACAGTATGTTATAATGCTTCGTGTACATAATGCTCAATATCTACAATGGTATTGTATGGCTTGGTATTTGATATTACATGTATATCACATTTCAAGCATTAGGTCAGGGTATGAAACATGAAACCTTTTTGTTCATTGGTAACATTTTAAATCAGGGATTGCAAATGTCATATTATATTTATATTAATAAAGTATTTATAAGATAATTTACATATAATAAGGACCAGCCCCTATTATAAATTTTTGTATGATTTGTATGTAACAAGACCTTTATTCTGACCATAGCCATTTTTAAAGTGTAATTTTGCAACCCAAAACTATAGTGCAATCTATCCATTCAAACCTTTCTTCACATTATAGATTTTTGCTATCATGTTGGTTTTAATTTCATTTCTTGAATTAGAAAGTTTGTTTATTATGTATGCAAACACATAATCTGCACAGCTCTGCCTGCAACATCAATGTTTTTCTTTGTTCTTGCTGTGCAATTGAATCAACAGTAGGGGGCAATGTGATCATGCTCTTGAAAGATTATGGTTTTTTCATTTTTTTCATTGAATTTTCATTAACCACTGCTAAACAGATTGATGTCTTCATATTTTTGCACCTTTTTTACACATCCATTATATTAGATTTTTTTTATTTGAACCTTTAAAATATTGCAGGTGTTAAAGTAAAACTGAATGAGGGTTTGGCACTGATTGCATTTAAACTTTAAATAGCCATTTTATGACTTATCCTCATTCTAAATTCTGTATGGGAACGTTTATTCCTCCAGTTAACATGGTACAGTATAGAATGTACACAAGTTTATGAGATCCTAAGGAGTCTATTGCTGGTAGAAACAACAATAGATTAATGATATCTAACATCTTACTTTATACTTTTATTTCATAAGTACTATATGTACACCTTGGTTCATTGTGTAACATATATTGAAATATGACAATGTATTTCTTTTTTTAGGCTATGAACAGAAGTCTCTTTTGATAAAACTGAATTTTGGAAATGGTCTCCCAAAGCTGAAAATCTGCAGCTAAAAGACGTGCAGCGCACAATTTAAGTAGGTACAGTACCTGATTTTACAGTTTCCAAAGGAAGAGGAAACATATTTGATAAACACCTTTGCATTTGTAATTCAGCTGTTTACCTTAAAATATAAGTTTATAGTGTGGTGAAATCTTGATTAACCTTTTCCATGATAAAGATTAAATCTAAGTTAAGATACCTCACAAAATATATATTTTGTTGAGACTGTATTTCAGTAATAAAAGTTGATCATGTAAAACCACTGAACTCACCAAGCTTCCATCAATTGCTTGGAGGAGGAGTAGTTAGATTTCTAGACTCGGAACTGAGAGGTTGTGGATTTTAATCCTAAATGGAAACTGTATTGCAAGTCACCCACTCACAATATTTCAGTGAAATGCACAGGTTTATAAATTAAATATAAATGAAAAATTAATCAATTTTCTCCAATTAACAAAAGATATATTTTTTTCTGATTTAGAAATAACAATACATACAGTATGCTACGTGAAAGTGCCGTTTTTGCACTATAATTAAAGTACTTCTGTCATTTAAATTAATGTAACTTCCTGTTCCATCCAAGGATTATTTCTTTTAAAGTTAATTAAAATAATCTATTTTAAAATAAAAACAGTTTATAAAGAATAAGATCCTTTTTTAAGTTGCAATTTATTTATACATTTTATTTCCAATATTGTGTTTTCCAATTTCTCAGAGTATTTAGGGAGTTTGACAGGAGATTTAAATGTGATTTGGTGTTTTATTTGTGCATTATGTTATTAAGGTTTATCTGTACCTTCTTTCACTTGTTTCCTTGTATTGTGTCAAGTTGAAAAGGGGAAAGCTGTTCAATTCGGTACATTCTCAAACTGACTGCCGAGACTGTCCAGAGAACTGAAAGTGTTCAGGTAATTGCAAGATAAACATGATCACCATTTCAAAAATCTTACTGTTAATAGCTGGTGTGGAGGACTGTAACACACTTACTGTACTGTATATCAGTTGTTCAGTTTCACATGCATTTCTCTTTTCAGGTGAATCTCCTCTGGACATACTGTATAGAATTTTTCAAAGTCTTCTAGAAGTGTGGCAGCACAAGGTCACATGACCTGGAAGAGAAAACCCAAGAGACTTTTGGCTTCCCTTTTCGGTTGGAAACACTCTATTTGTTATTTGTTGTTCATTCTAAACTAATTGCCTGTTCATTCTGTGAGTTGTTACAGAGCAGAACTAAATTAGTGGTGTCCAATTTTGATGCATGGGAGCTCTAGTCCTTCAAAAATTAATAGATGTCAACAGCCTGTGGATGATAATTAGTCTTGACTAAGTTAAACAATAATTGAGAGCTTGGTGAATTGACAATCAAAACACTTGGTGATGGTCTAGGATCACTGCTGTGAGCCCCTAATTTGGCCTTCACTGCTGTTGGAAAATTAAACAGAAATACATGGAAAAAGTGTGAGGAGGAGACTTTATTGGTGAAATATGGTAAAGATATACTGGTGAAAGAAATACTCCGAATCCAGAATTCACAAGTTATCCAAATAATAATAATAATAATAATAATAATAATAATAATAATAATAATAATAATAATAATGTAAAGGCCCTTCTAAAGAACAAGGTTTTGAGTCTAGATTTGAAACACCTTAGGGAAGGTGATTGAATTCCAGAGTTCTTGGGCATGACAGGAGAAGGCACTGTCACCCATAGTACGTAGATAGGCTTGGGGGACAGATAGGAGACCAGAATTAGGAAAGCAGTTTGTGAGGTGGGGAGTAGGACAATAGTAACTCAGACTGGTACTGAGTTGCCAAGCCATGCAGAGCCTTATAGGTGACCATGAGGATTTTGACGTTGACATGAAACCTGACAGGAAACCAATGCAGGGAATCCATGAGTAATGTGATCACTTGCACTAGCCCTGGTCAGAATTCCAGCTGCTGAATTTTGGACATACTGGAGTTTGTTCAACGTGGATTTAGAAACCCCAGGGAGTAGAGCTTTACAGTAGTCAGCAGACGGCAAGTGTGTTGACCAGCTTCTCAGATAATAAGTCCAACAAAATACTTGTAATTGCAGCCAAAAGTACTTCCAACAAATATTGAGTCAGCGAGGTAAATATTTATGCACTCAACATTTTGCTAACTTTTAACTTCTTTCACTCATAAAAGTGTTCAGTTTGAGCATTCAAAAAGTTAAAAATGTGTATGAATCAGTTATAATCCAGCAAATAGGTCATCATCGTGCAATGAACATTTGTGCAAGACACTGTACAGTATGTATATTATGTGCATATATTTATTGGATTATATTTAATCTTATGTTATGTGTTGGATGTTATTCAGTGAAAAAATAAGTTAACTGACCAGATCCTTTTGATTTATTGTAGAATGGGCCGGATATCAAACTGGAAAGAAGTCTAAAGGCTGATGAACTAATTATCTAAACAAGGCTGTGATAACCCTCCCTCCCTGCAAAACATCTACATTTATGTTCAGAGTTAAGCAACCCGATACTACATTGGTAAGTCAACTGCTTGAGTCAGTTGATTCCTCTTCAAAGGAATTTTATTATACTGCCGAATACATTGCAGAACCTCAGTTATCTACACCTCAGTGCTTTAGTTCTATTATCAAATTGTCTCTTAATACCCTGTACCTTCCTTATTTATAGCCCTCTCTGGTGGCTGGTAGCTAATCACAGAAAAAAACTAGTTTTCAGTTGTTTTTTTCATGCAAGGATTTAAATAATACATTTCAAAACATAAACATTTTAAGCTGTCAAATAGAATATAGTTGGCCGTAAAGTAACAAATCAGAGTAGTTTAGCATCTACTAAGAGATGTACCTTAGAAAAGGAAAAAAATGCATGAAGATACAATCATATTATCGTAAAAATCCATCCATATTATACAGTACATACTGTTATTTTTACATATCAAATATAAAACAAAAATCCTGCTATGTGTCTGGCAAAGTGAAACCTTATACTTTAGGCACTCAAACTACCAAAGCTTGACTTGTTAAGTGTTAATAACCTGACACATCTATTATCATTGTTTTCATTTGGTTGCTATTTTTATCATGAAGCAATGTATTTTACCTCAAATAATGCTGTATGAAAATTTACATTCAGTCTTTACCTTTGCTATTCCTGTGACCCCTTGCAATTCAAGACAAAACAATCGAAGGGAATTGAGAAAGTATTTAGAAAGTGTGATTTATATATTTCCATATTGATTAAAAATGTTATCAAGAGGCTTGCAAATTCAATAGGAGCAGCAGTGTGATCCTTGACTTGCACTGTATGGTAAAATTCTCTTTGTAAATTGTTCCCTTTTTAAAACAGTGTTTCCTTATTTCTCCCCCATAGGCTAAACATTGGAAACCCTGTCTACTTATTCCCAAGGGATCATTTGTCCTTTGTAATCAAAACTATCTCTGCAACTTGGCAGTTTCTCCTTAGAGGCAACCCCTTAGTTTAATCAACAGAAGAGCTGTGAAGTTATGATTAAAAATAACTATTCAATTGGTTACATAATACATTTTTAAATAGAAGATACAGTGTTACCATTGAAAGAAGCCAAAAACTTGGAATCTTTACTATTAGGTATTAGTTTAGTCATACCCTAGGATATTTTAAAAGATAAATCCTAGTATACGTCAAGAAATTCCACCACCTGGCTCAGTTTTCATATAACAAATTGATAAGTATAGTCTATGGACTCTTGTTGTACCCTTCTGTATGGTCATCTGTATTGGACTGCATTGATTGTGTGAGGCCATGTTGCAGCTACTGCTATGTTGTTTGTTTGGCATTGTGTCATATACAGTATGTGCGTGTGTTTTGTGGATGCCTTTTCTGAAGATGCAAGCTGATGCTTTTTAGAATTAATCAACACCAACTGATTATTAAAATGATACTTTTCTCATTTCACATTAAGTGCATTCATTTCACACTTTGAAATATTAAGTCTGGGTTGAAAGCAATTAAGCTCATTTGTCTTTATGACCTTTATTGACTTGTGAAATGCATTATGCAATTTTCTAAGAAGAATTTTCAGCGATTAAAAAAAATTTAATTGGAACAACAGCTTTTTAGGAACAAAGGTTTTCATCATTTAAGATAAATTATACATTTATTGTCCTTCCAAAAGGTTGGAAATTTCTTTGGCATCACCATACAAACCTACAAAAACAAATAACACAACATAAAATAAATACACATTTAAAATAAACAGTAGTCTTAGACATACAGTAATACATACTGTACACACACGTCTTGTTTTGCCTATACTAGACTACTATTTCACAAAATCCAGTTGCTCTACATAGGAAACAGTCACTTAACTGTGTTTAATATACTAATTGCATAGGAAACTAAAGATTTCTTGGATGCATTTTTCTTGGCCATAGGTATTCTAAAATGCCTCCCTGAAGGTAGCAGTTGGAAATGGGAATGAGAGTATTAGGGGTCATCAATGTTAAGCTGAACTTTCTTTTGAATTGCAATATAAAACAGTTCTTTAAGCTGTTTCTGTGGTCAACCATTTATTTTACTAGCAATATTAACAGTTGGACCAATTTCCCTTTACTGCCACACCATCATACCAAAAGTAAGGACATTTTCTTCTAACATTCTAAAATGTTCTTACTCAGCACAAACCCTTAAAGCTGCCTGGTCAAAAATACAAGCTGACTAGCCTTCTGAAAAATGCAATTGACATTCTCTGTAAAGTTTAAATGTTCATTTATTATTTTCTATAAATTGATTAAGGGGGAGAGGTTGAAAATCTGACATATTACTATCACAAGTAGCTGGATCTTTGGTTTTATTCACATTATCAACATAAATATGAATCATTCTTGACTGACACCACCGTTTTAGTTTACTTATCTGTTCAAAGTAAAATTACATCAACGTCATCAAAATTAGTTTTTAAAACCGTCAAAAGGACCATTCATTACTGATTTACTGTGTGAATTTGAAGTTGAATAATGTCATTCACAATGGAAAGAAACAAACTGAAAGTTAATTTTTTTACCCATCTCAGAATAACTTTAACTCTAGATAATGAGTAAGAATTAAAATTTGAAAATGAATGGAAGAGTTCAGATTGAGCATTCACATTTTGATTAAAAATGAAAACAAAACTCATATAACTCAAAAATGCATATTTCACATGTAATCAAAATAATGGGTTATCACTGGAAGGGCGTTAAAGCTTTTAAATGACACCTGTATTTTGTCAAAATCAATTGTCAAAAAAATTGTGCACCACAGTTGACATAAACCTGGAGTAGAAATTTAAACATTTAAACATTGTGTACTGAATAGACAGACAATAGTTGTTATTCTAAACCTGTGGATTACTGTTATTAATTCCTTGCATTTATATAGATCTGTTAATTCTGTAGGATTCCAAAGACCTGCTCCATCCTACCTGGGTATCACACCTTAGCAACAATACCAGTTGTAGATCAGGTAAAGAACTGAGAAAATACTTCAACAATTAAATAAAGAGTGAAGATTAGAAATGCCAAATGAGTGGAACATAGTCCCATCACTGGAGTTGATTCACTCTTAATATGAGATTAAGAGTTAATGAAATACCCGTTTTTAAGGAATGTTTTTGAATTGAGAATTTTTAGGTTAAAATGGACAGGATATGTTGAGACATAGGTTGTGTACGGAAGAAGTAGACCTGGTCAAAATGTGAAAAAAAGAATAAACAGTGTATGTGCTGTATGTTTTTTATCTGCTCTGCCTTGCCTCCAAGCACTTTCCATGCCCCTAATAATCCACTTTGAAGCTGATTCAAACTGACTGACTCTTCAGTGGGACATTAAACATTGCCTCTGTCCGTATGAACTGCACACGCGCACACACACACAGAAGCACCAATATCCCTTTCTAATTCAGAATACGCTGCATAGGGGACGCAGCAGCTTTCCACCCTCCTGCATTAACAGCCGCAGAGCTGCTGTGCTCAGGGGACTATCACTACTGCATATCAAAGCAAACACTAAAGCTAGTGAAAAACACAAGCATGAAACAAAGTCCCAGTCTCTCCGCACTCCTTCAAAATATTTTTTATATTTCTTAATTGATTGGACAAGGATACATCACCCATTTTGCAGTATGTTCAGCCCATGGTACAGTAGATTTTTGTGTGGGAGTAATCAAATGTAAAATTTGTATAAAGGCACGGGCAGTAAATAGATGTTAATGCTCCAAATAGAAACAGTAAAAACTGCATGAAAAAAGAGCTGACCCGAAAGATTTTCAGAAGCATTGGAGTATTAAAAACTTCAAATTCAATACATTTCAAAACATGTGTCTCTCTTTCTTTCTTGCTCAGCTCATTAAAGTGATTTCCTTTTTTGGTGATAGTGTTTACCATTCTTTTGAGTTGTCACTGTTTAGTTTTCGTAGTTAGCTTTTGAACTCACTGTTTATGGAACTTATGTCATTATTATTGTAACCCTAACAAGAATAAAGTTTAATTAAAATTTCGGCAGATTTATGAGGTTCCCTTTCTTGCATTAAATGCAAAATATGATAGAGCATTTATGCCATGGTTAACCATAGCCTTGTATTCATAAGCTGTGACACAGACAATGTTAATATTTCCTTTGAGCTGCTAGACACTGATCCTCAACAGAGAAAAACATTTTCTATTTATATACAGTATCTACTTTCAATAGAAATACATTTCCCATTCATACGATTATTTTCCATAATGTTTCATTGTGTAACGATGTACTTTTAAATCTCTTACATGAATACAATAGATATACTTAACATTGGGAATTTATTTTTAATATTAAGCTGCAGAAACCAACAGTAGAGAGTAGAGAAAGATTTCCAAGCAGAGTTCTACAGGAATTATCTTGAAGTTAAACCATCTATGCTGGAAGGTAACATTTGTCATGTACATTATTCATGTACTGATTCAAAGAGACTTTTGTACATAGGCAGTATTTTAGTATGGCCTGATTGGAATCTATGTAAAGCAGTGATTTACAATTATTTAATTCATTTTTTTAATTTGCCTTTCATTTTATGTAATTTACTTTACATACCTGTATCAATGATTTGCCAAATAGCTCTCTCTTTCTACTGGTATACAGATGTTCACTAAGAATGACAAAGCTGTCCATGAAGTTGTTTAATAACGTGAATACAAAAAGATTTCAGAACAGAATTATTGAGGAGGGATATTTTACTTTTTGGAATAAAAAGAGTCACAATACTATATTTTGTGTCCTTTCCATCAAGGCAGGACTAATTATAGGAATTTATTGATTTTTTATGAAGTTGCATGATTTTTAAAGTCTTTTACCACTAGATTACAACATTAATCTCTCCCCAACTGTTGATGTGAATGAAACTCGAGACAAGGCAGACCTCAGACATCCCCTAGCACTGCTTTTAATAAGTATGCCACACTGATCTCCAGTTTTAATCAAAGAAGTCACCAGAACAGGAGGCTTTTTAATTAATGAAATTAATTAATCTCT